GGATTGGGTCGGCCGCGAACAAAGGCCTCCTGCCCGGCCCTCTGCATGCAGCCGGTGGGGGCCCAACCCACGTCCGGGCTGCAGTGGCCGAGCCGGACCACCGGCCGCCCGCGCCCCCGCGTCCCGCGCACCCTAATCCGAGGCGACGCGGCAGGTGCCTGGTCCACCGCGGGTCCGGCCTTCCCCGCGCGGCTCGGGAAACGCTGCAAACTTTCCGATAACGCCGAGAGGCGAGGGGGGGGGGGTTCTGTGCAGATGAGATTATCGATAGTTATTGAAAGTCCCCAAATAGGATTTACAAAGCAGGCTCCTGCGCCTTTAATAGAATTCGAGATAATCTTTTATCACAACAAGACACCCATAGAATTATTTAAACAGATTGGACGGCTGCAGCAGCAAATTTCAATTATTCTAATGCTTTAATAAATGTGGTGCGTGTGTATTAAATTCAAGCTTCTTAATCCAAATTTTACGATTTAACTGCTCTGATTTTTCATTACTGCAACACCCACACGCGGCAATGGCCCGCTCCTTCCTCGGGGAGGGCGATCCCGCTCGGAAAAGCCAAGAAGGGCGCAGAGTCAGTGCAGCCAGAGAGAGCGGGGAGCTGGAGGCTGGTGAAGGAAGAGACAAGGCTGAGGCAGGACAGGCACCAGCGGGGGAAACAGCAGGCCAGCCCCTGGGCAATACTCTTTCCTAGCATGGGGTTTTCACCTAAATACACCCGCTTTGTACTCCAAATCGCCTGACCTGGTGATGTGCCTCACTCCGGGCTCCTCTTGGTCACCTCTGGGTAGCACCACAGGCTGAAGGGGGCAGGAGGAGGGCCCTGGTGGGGGCAGTCCTAGGCCAGGGCACCCCAGCTCTGTGTGGCCACCTTACCAAGAGGACCAAGGAACTACTGGGTCCCACCAGGGTCTCCCCTCAGGTGATCCCTTTCCTTCAGGTCCATAGTCCTATTGAAGGGGAACTGAACCAAGGGCCTAACCTGAGGCCCAGAGCCCACCCGGGCTGATGACCATCAGCGGTGGAGTGCGGGGCCTGGAGCTTGACCCGTGAACCTCCTCCACGCAGCGAGGCCTGGAACGGCAGAAAGGGCCTGGGACAAGGGGCCAAACCTGCTTCTGCCCAAGGAGGAAACTAAGACCCAGAGCTGCTCCAGCCTAAATTTCTCTGGGCTCTCAAGGAGAAGGGTCCAGCAGGGCCGAATGGGGGTCTCCAGGACTTGCTCTGCCTCCCAGCTTTATAAGAAATGGATAGAGCATCGGAGAGGAGGCTTTCGCTCTGGCACTGGCTCTTGTCCCAAACTCACCCCAGCCCCTCCCCCATCCTTGGCCCAGGCCGACCAGGGCTGACCCGGCTGAGAAGTGAGTTGGGCTCGGTCCAGAGGCGTCGATCTCTCATAATCTTTGTTTAATGTTGCATTTCTAAGCTCCGTATTAAGCAGCGGTATGGGCGGCTGGATATTTAGTTGTATATAATTTACACCCTGATCCTGAATCGATCCGACACCTCCGGATGGAGTCTCTCTCATTTTTCACGCTCCTTCCGAGGTGCCGAAATAATACCCTCTCATTAGGAGACGCCGAGGCCTGGCTAATTTATCCAAACTGTCAGGGGCTTGTACAACCTCGGGTTAAAAATAAATCAGCAAAGAAACAACACCCTTCTCTCCCCACAGCCCCCGCCCTGCCCCACCCCCACCCAACCGATTTATCAACAAAATTAAACCAGCCTGCATCTAACCGATTGACTAGCAAACAGTAGTGTTCAGAACCTTGGCGCTGTGGCCACAGCAACGGCCAGGGCCCAGCCATTTATTAGACACCCGGGCCACGCTAAGCAATCGAAACTGATCGCCCAGGGGGGCCTTCTGCCCCCAACCCGGAAACCCCCTCCGGATTTCAGAGAGGCCCCCCCCCCCCATCCTCTCCCTAGGCACACACCTCTTGGGGAGATAGGTCCTGGAACAGCTGCCTAGAGCAGCTAAGAACTCCTGGGCCACTCCCCCAAACCCGGGTTCCCAGGTACCCACACCCCGAGGCTGAGCTGCCCGTCGGAGGGCCTGGCCCGCGGCTTCTTTTTTTGGTCAACCCCTTTGCTTGCCAAAAGAACTGAGGTTGAGCCTTGCAGCACCCACTGCCTCTTGGCTGGAAGGCATCCCTCCACAGTCCCCTACAAAGACCTCACTTAGTTCTCCCCATGCTACCCCGAATCTATTGCACCCCATACACACAGGGTGTGGGGAGCTCTTTTTTTTCCTTTTGCAAAATTAAAAAATCATTAGTCGACTCGGGGTAGTTGATTCAGAAGAGGCTGCCTTGCAAATGAGACTCTTGAAATTACGTCGATAATTAATTGTGCAAATTTGTTTCTATTAAATAAAAATAACACGTATTGAAGAACTCAATTAGCATTAATTAAGCTTGATATCCTAATTTGGAAGTTGTATAATAGAAAACAAGCGTTTTGGAGGGTGTTTTTCCTCTCTCCCCCTCCTCTTCTCCCTCTCCCTGCCTCTGTCTCCTGCTCCCCCTCTCTCTGCCTCTCCTCCTCGGCTGGAGAGAGGAGCCGCTGTAGCCTTTGGGCTGCTTCTCTCTCCTTGGAGAATTGGAAATGAGAAATGGAGATGGGGAATCAGGAGGTGCTAAATTAACTGCCTGATCTGCACTTATTGCTGCATACACATCCCCCCATTACGGGGCCTTTCTCCAGCTCGGCTCTTAATATTCTAGGCATGGCGAGCCGTCTAGATAGCAGATTTATCAAATGGGAAAATGAATGTATGATGATCAGTTAAATTGAAAATCAGCGCCTGCATGACAGCTCGACCTGACACCTCCGTAATTAGAAAGAAAAATGATGGCGTCGGATGCATAATAGAGCAAAAACAATTTACACTCTCCCATAATGATCCGGCGTTCAAATTGAAAATTTCTCCTGGTAGAAATTGAATTCATAAAGTATGATTCATGAAGGACACATCTCCTGGAGGCTGGCTCGACCAGATCGATTGATAGTTTGTCTAGAATCACACAGCCTGCTGCTTTTGGGGCTTTCAGAAAAAAGCTAAACTGTTTAAGTAAATCAGTAATTTCACCTTAAGGACACGAGTGTGCAGCCAGCGATACTCCAGCATTCAAACTGCAAATCCATTAAACATGAGGCCTTCCCCCCCACTCGGTGCTGCCGCCACCGAAATGAACAGCTGCAAATTGAAGGAAGGAGGCGATTTATCGCTGCCAGACAAATTGTTCACCTTAGATAAAATAACCAGCATTTTACGCACAATTTTCTGCTACAATTTCATAATTTAAATGACACTTTAAATACAGTTTAATGGGGGTGGGACTGAGCAAGAGGGGAGAGCTGACCGCAGGGTGAGTCCGGAGCAGACTGGCCAGAGACAAAGGGGTCCAAGGCTATGCTTGGGGGACCTGGCCCTGTAGGGGTCTGTGGAGAGATGGGGCTGTGAACCCAGGAAGCTGTGGAGAAGGACGGCCAGGGTTGCTACTGCATACCACAGGCCCTTTTAGGAGCCAGAGCCCTCTCCTCACTAACTCCTGGCTGCACTGGGGGCGACCTGTCCGGGAGTCCGGCTGCCAGCACTTCCCCTGCTTCCGCAGACCCACCCCCTCTCTTGCTCTTCCTTCCCCCTCTCACTTTTCTTTTGATCTAATTATTTTTCCTATAAGCTCGGTCTCCTAGAGAGCAAATATCAGAGTCACTGAGCGAAAATTATGTAAATATTATTAAAGGGACTCGGGCTCCGAAATTCATTTGCGCCCGCGCAAGGAGGAAAGCTGTCCTTCTGATTATTTTCAATTTATTTGCAAATAGAGGCCTGATGACCAGGAGGGATCAGGGATATTTAACGAGGCTGTAAACATAATTCCACTGAGCTCAGCCTCACTGGAATTAATGGTTTTAATAATTGGGATCCCAATTTCTTGGGGAATTGGTGCCTTTTGTGGCACCGAGGACCCAGGGCCCAGGAAAATTGAGGCTGGTGGGTTGGGATGTTTTTTGGGGGGAGGAATTGGAGGACCAGTGGCGGTTCACTTTGGGGTAGGGTGGCAGCGGGCAGGGGAGGGGGCGCGGGGCTGGCTGCAGGCTCTAGCCAAGTTTGCTAATATTTCTTCGCTGCAGATGTCCTGAAGCCCCCGAAGGGTCCCCTGGGGACCCGGACCCTATTAGAACAAATGTGCTCTGCTTTTGTAAAGAGGCGCGTTGGCGGCGCCTGTCCTATTACAGGCGACACATGATCAATAGGCTGATAACGCAGCAACATCAATATAAGAGACAGAACAATGAGGGATATCATTGGGCATCTATCTTAATATAGCCGGCTACAAGAGCGCTGACAAAGAGTGCAGCTCATGAAAATTCCGCCCCACGATTCCCCATCTCCGCTCCAATATGCGCACGCACTCCCCCAGCTGCCGGCGCTATTATTCTCCAATTTCAATTTGACACCCCAGCCTTTCATGCTAATTCTATTATTGTAGGAAGTTTATGTGATTTCATATCACTAGAAATCGGTAATGTATAATAACCCTTTGGGCAAGAAACCCAGTCCCCGCAGCAGCCACCGGAAAATAATTACTTTCATATCAAAACTCTGCAGGAGCCCAGCGGCCCGGCCCTCGCAGCCCCCGGCTCCGTCACCCCGCGCCGCGCGCCCTGGCGTGTGCCAGAACGCGGGGGTGCGCGCGGGGGCGCGCGGGGGACTTGCGGGTTGTGAGCGCTTGTGTGTGGCGCCAGGTAGGAGGGGCAGCGCGGGGGAGGGCCGAAGAGGGGGAGCTGCGGATGCATAAATTTGTTCAATCAGAAAACACAAACACACGCACACAATAGGAAGCATTAAGCTCAGACCACAGAGGGAGGTGCGCAGCCCCCTCCCCGCCCCACAGGCCGCCTTGAGAGGAGTGGAAATGGAGGCGAGGAGCGGCGGGGTTGGGCACTAGGAAATTTAAAAATGATGGACGCAGAGCTTGCGTTTGACCAGCTTTATTTATCAAAAATGGTACATATATAAATATTCTTAGACATTTTTGCATTTTACAAGGCTGAGGATTCTTGTTGTGGGTTTTTGTGGGGGCTGTGGGTTCCTTTTGCTCCCTCGGGAGGTGGAGGGTCTCACCCCAAGACCTGCGGTTGCTGCCTAGGTCCTAATCAATACAGCGTTTCTGTTTGCCTTTAAAAATAATAAAAGGAAGAAAATAAAAGGAGGGAAAAAGCAGTGTTTCTAGAGCCGATCACCTGATTTGATGTGAGTCGGAGCCCGAGCGAGCGGGGGCGAACCTGCTAGGTGCCTCTCCTGGCCCCGCGGCCCTCAGTCCATGTCCACCTCGTCGCCGTCCGGCGGGCTGGGTCCAGCCGCCTCGCCAGGCTCCGGGGCGACACAGGTAGCTGGCTCCACCGCGGGGCTGGGGGCCTGCGGGC